TGGTCTCCAAAGTTACACTTTGAAGCTTGTATTTGGAGTTGAAGGATAAAGTCTCTAATCTTCTGGTAGAAAGTTAGTTCCTATGTGGGTTGAAAGAGTGAATGTTCTGAAGCAGAAGAGGAGGAATAAGACAGAAGGATCACTGAAATGAAAATCTGATAATTCTTGAAAATCGCTTTGTATATAGAGGAGGCTTTATCAATACATAACACAAAGTGAGAACATTGTGTACAAAAGCAATCTGTGCGATCTCTTCTTCCATACCATGGTATTGATTTTTTCATGTAATTCACAAAATCTTTCTCATCCTTCTTTATTCCATGTTCCATTTCTGTTTTATTTTATTTTACTTTATGTTATCATATTCTATCACATTTTATCGAGTTTACTAATTTGAAAACATTTCACTTATCTTGTGTTTCCATCATATTATATTCACATATTCACATTTCTGAATGTACTTTATTTTTCTTATCATTTATTTCATCGCTGAAAAATCGTAAGCTAGAACAAAATAGCTATCCAGTGATCTTCGGTTCTCAATGGTCTTCTAACTGAAATCATTTCGTTGTTAAACTTGAAATCAATCAAATCTCTGCAAACCAACACTTTAAGTGCTAAATTTTGTTAATAACGCTCACAGAGCAAAGCGTCTTGAAGAGTTTGCCATCCACTTTGATAAATTTTAGGCGAATTCTTGAGGAAGAAAGAATATTTCGAGTTGTCATAAATCTATGTATGGACTTCCATCAGACGCATGGTCAGCATTTGCTGTCAATTAATGACAGAAAGGGATTATGAAACGCGGTTGTTTTTGTAAATCTGAGTGTAACTCAGAGAAGCTGAAGGATGAAATTTAATATTTTTAGACATAATTTCGGATGATTGTTGTCATCAGTTTGTTAATTAAAAACTTATCTCGAATAATCTTCTCATCAAAGAGCGTATAGATCAACTTAAAGAATCAGAGGAGAATGGCGATATTATTATCTCTAGCCCAAACAAAGGTAGAGGTGTTGTAGTGAAGAATCGCCAAGATTACAACGATAAAATCTCAGTGATCGCTTCTGATAGAATGAAATTCGTCAATCCCGATGAAAACAAGAAACAAGACACATCTAATCGAAAAGTAGCTGACTGATGTTTAAAGGAAAATGAAGCATAAATCCGTAGTCACATCAGATCTACATGAACGCATCTGACCAGTAGGCTGCACAATACCACGTTTGTATGGGCTACCAAGAATTCACAAGAGAGGATTATCCATTCGTCTAATTCCCAATATGGCAGGTTCTCATTATCACGAAATTACTCAATGGCTAGCAGGAATATTGGAATCAGTTAGTAGGAAACTGTCCAAGTTTTCATTGAGATTTTAATGTCTCAAACAAAGTCATTGCTTCACCATTTACCGATGTGTCTCTCATTGAAACTGTTTGCTGTATGTATGATTATATTGATGCATGTAGTTTAGAAATAGGTTTTTAGACATCCTACCTCAAAGAACTTTTATTTAGATGCATGTTGAATGTTCACTTCACTTTCAGTAATGAAATTTTTAGACTGAGAGATGGCATTGCGATGGGATTACCACTGAGTCCATTGTTGTCTAACTGTTTTATGGCAAGGCCTGAAAACTCCTAACGTAGTCATACTATCGGTCAGTTTGACATTTATAGAAGATAAGTGGACTACACTTTCGTTGGCTGTGATAAGAACCTCTAGGACCCATTCTAGCAGAAATCTTCGTGGGCTATTTCGAACAGATGCGACTGATTGACGCTATCAATGGAACAACATACTACCGTCGATACGTCGATGATAATTTTGTTGTTTGTAACGACATGAGTCATGCATCCGTAATATTTGATCGCCTAAATGAGGTCCACCCAAACATTAAATTCACCATAGAATACGAACACAACGATGAGTCTAATTTCCTGGACCTAAATGTAAAAAGAAGAAACGATGGAACGGTTGAGAAGTCCATCTACAGGAAAGGACAGTGAATCTACTACGATTCGCTGAAGCAATTGCAATCAAACGTCACAGACCAAACTTATACATACAGAAAGAGAGTGTGGTCAATCTCTCACTCCCTTGGTAACCCTATCACTTTCATTACACTGATTAGTCATACACACCAGTGAGCTCAACTAACTAAGCAAGTTTTCAAATTGATGAACCTTGACCTTCTTGAGTTGCTATGTTGACAGTGTTTATTAGATTTTTCTATTTTCTGTCTTCTCTCACCCCCCTCTTTTTTTCTTCTTTCATAGTTTGACAGTATATAAATTGATGGTGATTGACTTAGATTATGATACTTATATTCCAGATGCGTTCACCTTATGATGTTTTCTATATTACCTTTCAAACAATGAAGTATGAAATGTTATTATTTATAACCATTGTAATTTCAGGTAGTTTGCAGCTGATGAGAACCTGTGAAATAGAATGATGGAATTATTTTATACTGCAAATCTGGTCTTTCTTTCTCTATCAATATTTATCAAGGGAACCAAATGTATAAAAAAGAACGTAATTCTTGATGATGTCTTGTTTGCATTCAACAACTGCCAACCCTCTTTGCGATTCACCAATGGGACGGAATCTGAACTAAGCATTCCCTTTCTCGATGTGTACATTAGTAGACCCAATGACTGATTTACCAAAAGATCTATCCACTGGAAACGTTCATGGAATGGACAGCTAACTAATTTTTATAACCGTGTTTCTGTCTTCAAGAAAGAGAACCTAATTAATTTGCTCCACTTTAGAATAAGAAAAATTTGTAGTACTGATTGTGTTTACCCAGAACTTGCCTTACTAAAAGCTACACCCTCAGAAAATGGTTATCCAAAGCGATTTATTGGCAGAAACATGTAGGATAAGCAGTATAAACTGGTCAACGACTTAGTGCAAAACAAAATCTTACCCATAAATTTGGAAATCAAAGGTGATCAAGCTTCAAATATGTTCAAAACCCATTTCTGTAAATCAATCAGCAATACATTCACGTCAAAAACGTACACTGTGCGTCATGAAAAACATTTCCAACAGCCGGCTGCAGACTTTTATCTGTAGCTGCCTTTGCTGGCTCCAAATTGAAGATCAGATGGTTGGTGAGGAATAATTAGAAACAAGAAACAGTGGGAGCGGATCAACTGAGAATCAGATGATCAACAAATATTTGGAAGAAAGTGGGGACAGATTTGGTAAACGTTGAGGAGACCGTCGAATGACATCGCGCAATTAGTAAGCTGTCACTCGAGTGGGATCAGAATGGGAAATGACGAGTTGGGTTTGTGTCCTAGGGCAACATGGAGAGGATCGTGTGTAGAAGAAATAAGATACTACGGGGCAATCATGTGGTCAGCTAAGGAGAACAACGGAATATAAAACAAATCGGAGATATTTTGTTGAGACGCCATTTTCGAACCAGTACCTCAAGGAACATTAATAATGATAATATGGGAAAAAGAACTTGGATATGTCAGGAATGAACAGCGAGTAGTATTGATAATAATAATAATAATATTACGACGAGTTAAGATAATGGCACTGATAAAGGACAGTTTTAAGTGAATCAAAAATAATAATAATGTATAGAACGAAATAGAGAATAAAATATTAGTAATAATAATAACAGTTAATTAGGAAGTCATGTTACCATGGTCGATTTAAAAAGGTTTTTCATTTCCTTCTGTACACAGAGACCTGATTTCACAAGCTTCTGAAGTTGAAAGCATCTTCATGTATTTTTGCTTGTCTGTCTACTGAAAGCAGTGAATCACATGACAGCGTCATGTCATGCTGTAACAAGAGAAGACAAGAGCTGGCAACAGATAATTTTATTACGGAAATCAGCACGTATTTATATATATTTCCTGTACATTATTATAGCTTATTCAAGTCGACAAACACAGTCTTCTGATTGGTTGTTTTCGGGTTTCTCGGAAAGTGAGGCCATCTATCTGCGAATCGTATTTGCCCACGTTAAGTCTGCTGTGATTGGTTGTTGAATCAGCCTTGTTCATATTTTTTCACGGCCAATATTAGTGACCTAGACATTGACGTAGATTAATGTCTACCTATTGGCTAGCAGCCTGCTCTCACCATAATGTCTGTTGACTAAAAGACGTTTTGTTATTGAAGTTCTTGGTACTATGACACCAATTGTTTTCAAAAAAGCAAGCGAAATATTCAAACTTAAATATTGTAGAGAGTGTCAAGTTACTGTGCTAATGACCATTAGTAAATCTTTCAAAGTTTCTGAAATCATATTCATTTATTTATATTGATAATGGTGAAGTAAGTGTTGGAAACTTCAATTATTCTACGGATAGTTCATATCGTTATAAAATGGTCCCCGTAGGTACAAGAAAGTTAAATGTGAGATTGACAATAATATGTCTATAATCCTGGTAGGGTTTGAATAAGATAGGATCGGTCTATTTCATTTCATATCTGGGATAATTGGGTGGATGAATACAACGCTGGCAACAACGTTTGATAGGCAGTTATTTGACTGCTTTGCCTAGTTGGCTAAACAGTGAAGTGATTGATAGCTTGAGTCAAAGTGGAAGCTGTAAGTTCAGAAATGATAAAGTCACTGGTAGCTTTTCAGATTTACGAAGAAGACTGATATAGAAGAGTTAAGGGTTAGTCAAGGTAAAGCAGAAAATAACATATTAATCACTCGCTCACTATCTTAGGGCTGCACTCGATTCTTTCAAATGAATATTGATTATGGCTTCAATATTTAACTGTGTTCACTTTTACGACACGACTGAATTGTCTAAACGCTGGCATGATAGGGATGTTTTATTTAATAGATAAAAAAGAGATGGTAAAGTAAATGAGATTCACTCAGATGAGTATATTATGTTAATAACAGTTTGATGAAAATAAATCAGAGTATGACTGGATTACAATTCAGTTTCTTTTTAAGTATGAACACGGATATGTACGTTTACCGTGAGCCACGAACACTGATTCATTCACCATACATGACACTTTACACTTGGATTCATTGGTGAGTCCACTGGACAATTGTATGCTCTTGCGAAGTTTTCACTATTTGACAGGGTACCGACTAACCTAGTAAATGAAAAAGACAAGAAATATTGATTTAATGTATTGACAGATACGGTTAAAGATGTAGAAAATTAAGAAGAAAATTGCAGCGAAGAAAATTTTCTTTTCTACGAAGTCATCATCTAGGCTGTACATTCGTGTATTTATATCAAATGGATGAGAAACTTCCAGAATAATTTCCGGTTAAGGGTCAAATTAATAAACCCTGATGGAAAACGGTTTCCCGCTCAGGTTCAGACAAGAATCTCAAATCTAAGAAGACTTTCGAACAAGTCCAATCCGTTCCAAAAGAAAATACTTCTGCTTAATCTAGAATTCAAAAGTGATATTGAAGCAGAAATCCTTCGCGAACGCCTCTCCAAATTGCTGAGGAAAACATACTTCGCCGCGAGCCTACGACTGACGTTTTCCTGCAAGAAACTGTTCAGCCAGAACGCAAAAGACAAGCTGTCGCATTGGGCCACCTCAACGTGTATATACCATTTTGCTTGCTCTTGTGGAGCTGAGTATGTTGGCCGTACCATGCGCCGACTTGAAAAACGCGCTCGTGAACACTATCTAGCCTGGTTAGTAAAAGGAGACCAAAAGCGTGTATACAGTTCACTGACAGAATATCTGGTCAATTCAGGACATTCAGCGCCTTTAGAAAAATCCTTCAAAATAGTATACAAGATTCAATCAAACCTATCAAAGGGAGTCAAATCAAGACATCTGGACATAGCCGAAGCGCTAGCTATACAAAAGCTCAAACCCACCCTTTGTATCCAAAAGAAATACGTCCAACCCCTGTCCCTGCCATGGCCATCATAAACAGGTATTTTTTAGTAATGACCATCCTATCGCCTTTCTAACCTAAACTTCCTGTTTATTCTTGTTATTTTAAGCTTTTCTTAATCCCTGTTTACACTACCATATTTTCATACCCGAACTTCGTGTTTATTTTGTCATTTTACTATTTCCACACATTTAATCCCTGATTGCATAAACAATTATTCATCACATTAGTTCTTATCCAAACATCCTGTCTATTTTGTTATTTCTACATTTCTAACCCCCAATTGCACAATGTCAATCTTCTTAGTAATTATGATGATACTTTGTTTGAGGTTTATCCGCCCCCCCTGTTTATTATGGCATTCCAATTCCTAATTGTAATTTTTATTCATTTGACTCTTAACCGGAAATTATTCTGGAACTTTCACATCCATTTGATATAAATACATGAATGTACAGCCTAGACCATGACTTCGTCAAAAAGAAAAATTTTCTTCGCTGCGAATGTCTTCTTAATAACTCCTATGACCCAATGTAGAAAATTGTGGAGGATGTTGTCAGTTTTAATTGTGTGTTAAATTCATCGAAACATCCAATACAGGGCGACCTGCTTAAATCACTGGCTTACCTCAATTTTCTATCCATCAAAAGGCATTGTATTTATTCCGTCTCATACAATTTCAACCGTCTAATAGCACTCTGATTCGCAGTCTCAACCTGAGCATAATTTCAGACAAGTTTCTATCTACCGATTGCAATTTTTTGAAGGAAACGAAGAAAGACTGTAGAGTAATATCGGGGTATGCTTCAGATGACATATTTTCGGTTATTACGTCGCTCGAAGATTGTATATGCGGAGTAAATACTTCACAATGAAGGCCGATGGAAATTCTGTATTGTGTATAATCGCATTTTCCGGGATAAAGCTATTATGCGAAGTGATTTTAATGGATAGTGACTAGCAGTGGAATCCAAGATTCGCGCTTCGTCCTGTCTGCGACTCATCTGTTGGATGTGCCTACTTTTCTCAGTGAGTGCTTGTCTTCTCACTGAGGCTGGAATCTAGTACCCATCGTTTCAATCGCCAAAGCGTTATCTACTAGTCCACTTGGACGAACGAACTCTTGTGTAATGAGCATCACTCTAATCAAATTTCTTCGTTACTTCAAGCTACTGCAAGCTAAATCCTTAGACATCTTCTAAGCATCTGCACAGAAGCCAATATATGAACAGAGGCCAGACACATCCATTCAGTCAGTAGACAGGAAAGTACAAATTGCATTAAGAGAAGCCACTGCTGTCAAAATAATGATATATATGTATATATATCCGGGCACTATTGGAGACTTGTTTCGTCCTAGTTTCGGATTCTCCACGGTGCCATTCACTAGCGTTTAAAATCCAGGGCTTCCTGGTTACGAGGCGAGCTCGTCCACTTGCACCAGATGGGATGATTCAGGGATTTTAACTTCCGCGACATATATATGCCACAACCACCAGACAATGTGTCGGCGATTAATTGTCTCCTTACCTGACTTGGTAGACCGCGGTGATTAACACTGCTTACTGGGACTCCAGGTAACTTCCTATATAGGGCCGGTCGCCAGTAAATATTAGATTGATTCTCAGGCACTCGTTTGCTTTGTTCACTTTTAGGGCAATTTCAGCTTATTTTATCTCTCAGTATCAAATCATACAGACTCTTATGAATAACTGATGAACTCCAGGAATGATATGAAAACTTTCACATATCTAATAAAATCTTACCTGTAATGACCTAACACATGATCAGCGTCAGTCATGTGTTCAATTAGTCCTTCTGAATTATACTTTTCACAAAATATCTGGAAAAAGTAAGATCAACAAAGGAGGAATTGTTTTCTAACTTCAATAGGTTTGAGTGCACACTTCAGATAATCATGTCGCATTCAGTGTATAAACAAGTTTTGGATAACCGATCGACATGGTAATAATTACAGTAATAATAAAGTGGTTTATAAATAGCGTAGAGTTTCCAGTCTGCCTATATCTGCGTCTTATAACAAATCTGTCACATGCTCCGACTCCTGACGTACTTTTCCTTCCCAATGGCAGCAAACCGTATGTTGAATGCCATCCAAAAGTATACATGAGTACCCAGTGTTCTTTAAGACCCCAAACAGTCAGTTAAAATAAGCTACAACTGAGTGAATTCGACACACCATGGTCCACAGAAAATTAGACAGCCCAGTGATTCAAGTAGGTCGTGAAATAAATTAAAATAATACGACCAAGTCGGTTAAGTTTACTTCTCTTCAGATTCGACTGATTTCAAAGTCATTAAGCTCCGTATTCCAGGAACTGGTGAAATTATTTTTCGAAATATGAGCGCATCTAAGCTAGTCACATTAGAATACCCTCAGAGAATGGTCTTCAGAGTGAAGACGTACTAGTTGACTTTCTCAAACAGAAGTTAAGCATATTCCACAGGGTCAGTAGAACCATCTCTCTGAAACATTGTACGCTCAACAGTTTTATTTGACTATACTAGAGCATCTGCTCTAATGCGAAATCTCTTAGATTCACGGCACTTGACATAACCTGAAGTGTTCTGAATTTCGTTGAGAGAAGTATCCTGCTGGTGTTTATGAAATTGTTATCTAACAAGCTTAGACTGCCACCTAGTATATGAGGATTTGTTACGCACTCGCATGTTTCGGTACTCAGAATGGAATTCCATGAATGGTTTATTCACACCTGTGGCAATGGTGAATCCAAACTGAAATATGCATGAAGGAAATCGGTCTAATGCATATCTCTTCCTATAAGTGGGAAGCATCTGGATGGCTTATGGGATTCTGCGCCTGAAGGCTCGGATTGTTTGCATTAATTCATTGAGTAAGTTGTTAACAGAACAGTTTATCAAGTAATTTGTATCCTTACCTTTTTCATTCCCCTGAGTAATCTTTCAATACATCTAATGCCAAAACCCCCTTGTATTAACCGTATCTAAGAACTCGAATTCTTTTCGTTTCAATTACATATCTAATCTGCTGGGAACACGGAAAGTATGTGTGGTATAACGGCTTCATTCCAGTTTCTGTCAATTGATACAGTGGATCCAAATATTTTACATGTATTCCATTAGATATCAAGTACTACCAAACAGGGATCTATCTGCTTTACTTTCCTGTATCTCCAAATCAATGTGGAAATATATTGCACTTAAAACAAGAAACATGATTGGAATTTCCAATACTAATGTCATTGAAATTAGGGATCCGCTTTGATTCGAAGACGGAGCCATTTAAAACAAGCTACTGCAGGCTTGTAACAACACCTGCGTTCTTCACTGAATACTGAATATAGATGACTGGCGGAAAGGGTAGGCGAGGCAGAACCGCAGTATGCAGTGGACGAATCAAAATAACCTACTGTCAGGCAAATACGCAGACGCAAATGGAGATTGACTAAAGGGTGAAATGAACTGGATCACATGGAAAGGGAATGGGTTTGTGGCCAATTGTGGTTCTCATTGGAAGAGACCGCAGAGAAAATTATGAAGTAAAGATGTGCTTTTGAGGTCTTGTCTTCCACCCAAAACACAAGGTATGAATAATGATGAAAATAATACTTGTCAGTGTCTTTCCATGAGTCAGTTTTTCCCACCGAGAGGTATACTCAGTGGTCTACTAGTTTTGGAATAAAATATGAGAACAAACCAAATAAAGCTACATACCTGAGCAAAGTTATGGAAAAACGATTGTTCGGAAGCTAAAGAGGAGTTCGTGTTTTCATCAGCACCATTTGTAAAGTTTCTCGTCAGTCTCTGAAGTGTCTGAAATGAATAAATGACAGGAGGAAACATTATGTTTAGAAGTCAGTAACCGAGGCTGTATATCAACCTGTAAATTCTTAGGAGTTTTGTTTCACTACAGTAGACTACTTTGTTACTTCTTTTTTGGGTGAAGCTCAAATATTTACAAAACAAAATTCAGTTACTAGTAGGTGAGTGCAAATGTCGATCCGACCGGCGTGATGGCCCATGGATGATGAATTCAAACAGGTTTGAAACACTTTGCATTTCCCGTGGTCCGTTAGACAATCTTGCTGTTCAAATAGATTTTGATATAATTTTAAGGTGGTTTTTGCGTGCCTTGCTGATTATAGTAATGTCATTCCATAGTATCCATTCACATTATCACCATGATGAATAGTGAAATCGGCCCCAGAATAAATCTGATTCTGTCATCCATGGAGTCAAAACAGTTCTAGTGTTGGGTTTGTGGTTGCCGTATGAAGTATCATGATTTTTGAAACACTTCTAGTCATAACAATGAAATCTAATGCATCATACCTCAAACTTAAATTGACTACAAGTAGACATAACTAAGAGAATCATCGGGAACTAGGGAGCACTGGTTAGCTATTTCATCCTAGTTTCGGCTATTTGGCAGTGTGTGTTCATCACTTCACAGATATGGATAGACCCAGGGACCTTCAGGTTATCAGGTAAACTTGTTTACCATTCAGCTATTTAAAAAGAATTCAGCAGTTCATGAATTCTGTTTTCTACTATGCTTTTCTTGAGCTGATAGTATTTCGCCAGTTAAATTAGGAAAGAATCATGAGACTTAAGTGAACCACTGATGTGAAAACCTTCTGGTGGCCTGTGTACAAGGAGCCATTTATTACACAGCACACAGGAATTCATCTCGGTCTACAAATAAACCTGTGTACTCAGTAATCACATAGTGTTAGGTGTCTTAATTACTACCGATTCCAATTCGTCTTGCTACAGGGAGCATAATTAAAATGCATGGCTAATGACAGTGATTAGAGCACTGTTTCTCCCTCTTAATTACACTGTGTTGTATACTGATAAAGTATATACTAAAATAGAAATTGTGTCAATGTAATCTTGGTTGAGATATCTCATGATATGGAATGCCTTCATTTGGGCTCTATAAAATCTAGGTTGGGGAGGGTGGTGAGTTAGATATGTTTCTCGACAAAATTTCAGAACACTTATTCGAAGCTATCCACAAGAACACATCAGCCTATGTCTAGTTACCTCAACTACTTTATTAACTCACCTTTCACAGTCCTAGTATCCTGGTGGTTTGGACTTTCAGGAAATCTATTCTAAATAAATTTTCCTAACCAAAGGTAAGTGTTCATTAACTATCAGTACTAGGTGACAAAAACGACTATTTGTGTCTTCCAGTCGATTTAGACAACTTGGTTTAAAACGGTGTTTTAGCCTCTACTGTTTGATGCATTCTCGCTAAAAAGATTTTGTCTGACTGTGTGAATCCACTCTATCCACAGCTTTAAGTCTTCATCTCCGGAAGTAGAACAAAACGTTATTTAAAAGGACTTTATGCGCTTTCATTACTCTTAAGTCTGTGTGCAGGAGGTCAACAGCACTCACCATCAGAAATAAGATCCGGATTTTCAACTCCAATGTCAAGTCAGTCAGTGCTACTCACTATACGGATCAGAGACTTGGCCAGCGCGTCATAAAGAGCATCTCAAACAAAGTTCAGACCTTCATCAACAGCTAGCTGTCTTCGCTCAATACACTCAAGATCAGATGGCCGGCCAGAAAAGATCAGGAACAGGGTGGGATCTCTGTAAATGAGCGAACCAACCCAGCAGGAACCGATTGTGCAACAAATAGGTAGGAAGAAATGGAGATGGATTGGCTGGCTATACTCTGAGGAAACCATCAAGTGGCATCACTAGACAAGCCGTCGCTCGAGTGGAACCCGACTGAATGGGAAGCGGCGAGTTGGTCATCAGTGAAAGGGTGACTTGGAAGAGGTCGTGTGAAGAGGAGATGAAAGCATGTGGGCAGACTTGAAGTGAGGTGATAAAGTTGGCAGAAAACCGAAGGCAATGGAGACACGTGGCTGAAGCCCTATGTTCATCTAAGAATTAAAGGACATAATAATAGTTATTATTATGCGCGCACGCCATATTTGGCATGTATTTTATATGATGAAAGTAGTGTCATGGAAGAACTAACTAACCTTCTTTCCTATTACCACCTAGTCTAAATGTTATTATTCCTCTTATATGTATAATCCTTTCACTATTTGTGTTTATTTTCTCACAAGTGTGAATATCATTCAAGCTATGTAATAATTGTTCAGTTTTTGTTTTTCCTTTCACCATACTATATCAAGAGAACATTAGATTCACTACTGTGTAACGGGCTAAATATTTCCATACTGTATAGACAATGTTTGAAACAAATCCAGATCTATTATTATATGAGAGTTATTATTCCCCTTTCGTACTTTGCACATTTTTGACTTTACTCCTACTGTAAATACGGAAAGTTCCTGTGGTATTTTGCATAAATCAGATGTAATACTTTGACAAATTAATATAGAGGTAAGAGGTGAGAAAATAGACACTTAGGTCAAGTTAAAAGGACATATTCAAGGTCAAAATAACAATGAAGACCACTAAACCAAATAACAGAGGTAATAGTACATCTGCTATGGTATCAAAACAAAATTTACCAAGGAAGGTTTAATGTGATGGCGAATTGTTTTTGAACGCATAAAAGTGGCTTGAACTTTCTAATTGCCAGCTGGATATTCCACAAACTTTAGGATACGCCCCAAAACATGTTATATAGATAGGTTTTAAAGATCTGTTAACATCAATTTTATGACCTGTCTCTATAATATGTTACGCAATAGAAGAGCTAGGTCTCCTGTTCTCACCGTTAATAGGTTCTGAAGATTCCATTTGTTTTTGGAGCCATTTAGGAATATGAGCTAAAGCCAGTCCTTACTTGCAGAGATCGATAAGTCCTCCCTATGTATGTGTGTCCACACATACATTCAAATTGGTAAATACAGTCGGATGTGATGTCATTTTTCGCATGTTCGAAGGGCTTAGATAGATATAATGGCTTTACATTCTCTATTATTATGATATTAGCTGCATAAAGTCTTTTTAACAGCAGCGTTCAGTCTTTGTCTAGTTATCAAGCTGCTTTGATGACAAGTCCGTGTGTGATCAGATTGTTCGAAATGTGTTGCGCAAATACATTACACGATTCAGACAAATTACGTCTTCTTATTGCTTTATCCAGATTCATGAAGGGAACTAATTGTTTTAAACTTTGACAAATGTTGAGAATTTCATGCTGTATCATAAGTAATGCCTTTGGAATAAAACAAATTATTATTTAATAAGAAGCAATGTACGCCATAAATGTGCCAATGATATGTTTCCTTGCCTGAGTTGATGAATGATGAAATCCATCTTTTAGGACACACTCGATATGTTACACCTCTGTCTTACTCAGACTTCAGTATTCCCGTTGAAGACGCGAAAAGTCTCCTCACAGTCTTCTAGACACACTGCATTCGTGTCAAATATACCGCATTTCCAAACTTAGTAAATAAATTTTTGCGATTCAAATCAGAAAATGATCAGAAGCATAATACAACGTTTATTACAAACATAATATAACTCTCTACGAATTTCGCCTTCTGAAAGTCAGCTTGTAAACCCCAGCTGATAGTGACAAAAGTGAAAAAGGAGAGACATTACCATACTGTATACATTACTGACATTACGAAACAAATATCACACTTACCTTGTATGCTATCCTCAGACCACCGTTATCTGAGAGAATCTCGTCCTGACTTCCAATTGTTGCACTCTGACAATTCAAAATAGGCATATTAGTAAATGATATGGAAGGACATCACTTTTGAATATACAAAGAAGGAGTCATTCAAGTCTACATTTTATGAATTCTGTAGTTCATACTAGTGTGTTTGACGGAGTTAAACAAGCTGAAGATTATTTGTTGTGTTCCACTGACCTCAGGTTATGCTTATCAGAGGCCATAACACTTGGAGGTAGTTCCCATTAACACAGAGTTCTACAGGACACCTGCACCATGACTTAGACGAAACACAAATGTCAATATCAAGCTCGCTTAGTACAAATGAACTTTTCAGATCATTTCTATGATATACTACGTTTAAAATGGAATGATTTAGATGACTGTAGACACCATTCACGTGGTGTAAAGAAGAGGGCAGAATTAAACCGAATGATTTAGATCAATCATTGTAAAACAGTCACGAAGTTACTGAACCCTGATCGTATCTGTGGAATAATGATTATGCAATGCTATCTCAGAAAATATCTGTAATATAGACGGATCGATTTGTTTCCGTAAAGTGAACGAAAGGGAAGATGAGAGTGAAATACTGAAGAATTTTTCTCAGTTTGAGCACACTACATTCACGAGGATTTAAACAAATTCAAGAAATGAACACTTTCAAAAGTGTTTGTGGTTCTTCTAATAATAATGACCAAGGATAATCTACGCATATTCTGTTGTTCGTACAGCGTAAACAAACAAAGATAATTTGACGAGTTTCAATATTTCATTCAGCACAAGCGACAAACCTTTTCACTCGTATAATTGTAGTTTTTGTATTGTTTGCGTAGACATTCTGTTTGCTTCAAGATTGTAAGAAATTCATTGTGGGATGTACTGTAAGGCCTTTGAGATCCATTCTCATCGACAAGTATACCTTAATATGTGTGAAATGTAGGTAGATTTATGTTAGCTGATTTATTTTGTTCAGTAGTATAATATTAAGGTTAGCATGCTTTTATGTTTCTTTGGCACTTCAAATTTGTTGTCGATTATAAGCAGCTTTGTATAGCATATTGAATGAAAGGTGATTTACAAGGCAGAAGGTATTGCACAAATATTCTGTCGGAGGCGAATCTTTACTACATTGTAGTAGTGAATTTTGGTCAGTCAGGCATATCTATAAGCTACGTGTAAACTACCGTGAAATTGTGAATACCACTTGGATTATTCTTCACCATGACACACACAATTCTTTACATTACATGTACGAGACTGCCAATGAGATAATCAGTGATCTATGATTCACATGCCAGTCAGCACACACTAAATGATTAGGCAACACAATTTTAAAATTTAGGAGTAACAGACTGATAAACACACCTGAGCTATTCGACTTCATGCATATGATGAAAATACGAAAAATATCAATGTAATTTTCAATGAATCTTCGTAATCCGTTGCATACACTTAGATCACATGCATCAGTGAGACATTTTCCAACGCCTTTTACTGTTGTCCATGCCTCCTTAGAAAAGTCATCCTATCACTACGAAAAAGTGGCATTGATACGAATTAGTTGAGAAGACAGTTTCTGCCTATTTGAGTTGTTACACTAGCCCATAACTTCAGGTTTGATGAGAAATGTATCGAGTGTATCAAAGGGAATACAATTCTTTGCTGTGGCGTAGACGTTCTCTGAAGTCGCATTTTTTACCATGACATTGCAGTTATCATATATGCCGTGATTTAAAAGAAGTTATTAAAAACTACGCTGCTGGGTTAACTGCCATAGTTTGTTGTCTTTTATTTATATCGACATTTTATTTACCAGATACCCTAATGGACAATAGAGTCTAAAATACACCGTAAGGGCAGTGATCTCAACATGCTCCTAGGAATGGTTGAAATTCACTGCGCTATGGAGGAAATGAAGTGAAAACAGTTACCATAGTCGCCTAGAAACGCAAATGAGGTGAAAAATCCTGTCAGAGTGTAACATATCAGTTAAAATATCATTCCGAAAGAATGAATCATGATAAAACAGAGGAAATATGAACGATGTCGGCCGCCTTACAACTATGTGAGAATGCTGCATGTCAAGTGACCAACCATAAAAAGCTCGTAGAATTCTCTGGAGCAAAGACAGCAGTAACAAAAAGCTGCCTGACACTATCACCGACGATATCCCTGCTTATGATGGGCTGGATTTTGCAAAAGACTGGAGCGTGGAGAGAGAGAGAAGACAAGAGTGCATCGGATTGACAAGACGACTCTAGACGATCTGAGCATTGCAGACGCCTAATGTCTAGCTTCACAAAAATTCAAATGCTTACAAATGAAAGCTAACAAGTTAGGAGAAGACGCTGGCAGGGAAAAAGGGATCTCAAGTGAACATAGAGTAGACAACGGTAATGAAGATAATCGACCCACAACAACAACAACACAACAGCAAGCAACAATCACTATCGTCAGGAAATATTTGGAAGAGGTCACTTCCGTCACATAACTAGACAGCGTCGTCTTAACTACAGGTCAGCGGAACAGATGAGGATGTCAAAACGACCACAATTGAGAAGGCAATGCACACAATCAGTTTTGTAATCTTCTCCACTCCACACCATGAACAACCAAGTTCGCATTTTCAACACCAGTACTATGTCAGTCAGTGAGTCAGTTCTTCAACAACAATCAGAAATTTGTTCTGAGAGTCACGAAGGCAATTCAACAGGATACTGCAGACTTCGATCCAGCCTGGCTTCTCTGACTCCATAATGAAGATCAGATGGTTAGTCAGAAAGAGTTGTCAACGAAACAATCAAGAAGAATATTCTGTATGAAATGGAGATGGGTCGGACACACTGAGAAGACCATCGATTGGCATCACCTACCAGACCATCGCTCGTGTGGATCACAGATGCGATACGATGTGTTGGGTGTTAGTCCGAAGTTGGTGGTGTGAAAACAGTATGAAGAGGAGATGGGCGGATATGAACAACAGTGGCACAAGTGAAAGAGGACTGCAGAGAATGGGGTGGAATGGAAATGTTCTGTTGAAACCCTATGTTCCAGTCAGAACCCAAGCGAATAATAAACGTGACAATAATATTATCAATGTCAACCACCATCTCTAATTTCTCTTCCGATTAGGCTAAGATAATCACCAATAAGCTGCACCTGAGACTACAAGATAATTCGAACAATATGACAGTTATATCTTTCCAGTGATGTTGAGCAACACCAAGTTACATCAACGCAGGGAACAGCTATTGAAATCTTCAAGTTTCCAGTGAAGCACTCAGTGATCTTATTTGACTTCCTTTCAAGATAGAATCAGTGAAAGATGGAAGGTACTTCAGTGGTTAAATCGTGAAATGCTCATTAGCCACTTTCAGGATGGCAGTCCAATTCCCAGACCACAATGCACTATTAGGCTTAACCTAGCTGGTGGTAAGTCACACAGAGAAGTAAAGTTAGATGTAAGTCTAGCGACCCCACTCTGTAAAGTAACTGTTTATGACAGTTCAAGGGTCATACTTGAAGTCTTGTATCAGTCTCCGAAATTAAACGAATGTTAGTGAAGGGATTAAAAGAAATCTATCTGAATGAATAGACATTTGCAGCCGTTCAACAGAAAGCCACATTTCTATAAACTTCCAAATCACCATAACGGAGATGATGATCAAAATTTTACTGAAACCATATCACGGAGATACGAGCAATTTGAGTGAGGGAAACAACTAAATTTTATTCTGTAACCCGGGATATTTTCCCTAAAACTGTCTGTCAGTTTAACACATGCCAACAAAGGTAAGTTAAAAATTTCAAAGAAAGTCATTTTGGTTCGTTTATTACCGGATGTATCAATAGCATGCAATAATTCATGAGCTATGTACCAACCCAATCCCCCGTATTTTTCGTAAATCGTTTGATTATCGTTGTAAATCGGTAGATTCAGAATAGCACCATTGATATATATGCGGTTTTCAGTGGGCGAATAAGAGGCTGCTGGTATATAGGTGGCTTCTTCCGCATCCAATCTGTGCATAGAAAACAAAAATGAAAATTCATCAAGTATCTGATTGTTTCTGACAAAATGACGAATTTAAATGAAATTCAGTTGACCATCATCATGTTACATAAACCAAAGTCTCAATTAGCAAAAACCATTCAAAATGTTTGAGAATTATGCAGTTGCGGATGCAATTTCACTTAAGTTTTTCCCCTGGAGTCACTGGAGTCACCCTCCCCACCATATGTGATCTGCTTGATGACAGTCATTGCAATTGGTCAGCCAGAAATTCAGGTGGCTATGCCTTTCAGTGCTGAGTCAATCTAGGTGCACTGATGATGAGTGCGGTCCTAAATAAGCGAAACTGTCTTCGTGTGCTTAGATCACTCCGACCTCCTGAGCTGTATTCTCCAACACCTAGACGATTCTGGATACTGAGGAAAAATGCAAACCGACCCCAGAGTTATCTACAGAGCATGTGGAAATCGTCCGAAAGAAGCACAGACTGCAGAAGTTATGAGAGTTCATATTTTAAATACCCAACTTATTTGTCTCAACACTTAATACATCGTGTTTGCTAATCCTAATTTTTCATATTTTCAAAAATTTTATTCTGTTTCTCCCTTGCCACTAATACATTCCTACTGTTTATGAGGCTGATGATAATTTGACCCTCTTTCAACTTAAATTATTATTATATTATTGTTCATTTGGGTTCCACGTGGAACCTAGTTATTCAACAACAGATTTCCAATTTGTCCTGTCCCTACCAATCCTCTGCAGCTGGCCCCAGGATTGTGCATATTATCCCATCTCATCCTCAGACGATCCCCTCCACTTCAGCCTGAGACCAACTAGGTGTTTATCATTCGGGTTAAACTCGAATGATGGCCTAGTGCACGGCGTCATTCGATGCTCTCCTCATTTATTTATTTTATCTAACTCCTTTTCGCAGTACCTATTTGTTGAGCACCAAATTCACGGTTAGTTTCTTCACAGAGCTTACTGGTGTTAATTACTTTTGGCCAGCCATCTAACCTCCAATATAGAGTCAGAGAAGCCAGATGTTCATGAAAGTCTGCAGTAGCCTGTTGGAAATGTTCTTCGTGACGATTGGTGCAAATTTCTGACCCGTGTAGAAGAATTGACTAACACAACATTGGTGTTAAGAATCCGAACTGTTTGTTGTTAGGCTGTAGTTGAGACGATGCTTCTCAGATAATTGAAGGGAGTGACATCTTTTAAATTTTTCCCCTTGAGAGTGATTGGTGTTGGTTGTTGTTGGAACATAATCGGCGATTTGGTTAGGTAGTCTTGTGTCACTTCCATCCCCAATTCAGATCTATCGGTGAGTTCCTCTTTGTGAACCAACTGACACGTGGCACTGTCATATTGCCAGCTGTTGAATGAAGCTGAAGAATATCTATGTGCATGCACACCACAGTTCTGAAGCGGTTTCCACATCGCTTTACGGTCATTGGTGTCTGTCGGAGGTCTCTTTAAATTACATGAAGTTGCGATAGAATGAGAATTGAATGCCATTCTATGTTCTGTTCGATGATGCTCCGTACACATTTTGCTCCTCCTAAATCCAGCTTCTTCTTGTCGGAGTTCCACATCCAGGGGATATTTTATCCTTTTCAGGATGAAAAGACTTAGTAGTTTACTTGGCGTCCATAATTCTATCCAAGCTGTACTAAGACCCTTCGATTACGGTGCGTCACCCAACTTACCTATCGAATTTCATTAAGCTTTCTGCCCAATAATGCTCTATGTGCCTGTTATGTACTGCTGCTGAGTGACTTATTAGAATTTTCCCCGTCGCCAATTATGTTATGTACTCGTCGAGTAGTTAATAGTCCTGACGCGGAAAGAGGGAAATCAGAAGACCACCAGGTTTACGATGATGCTTGTATTTTCCAGACAAGGAAAATAAATGTCACACAAGAGTGTGAGTGAAATGGTACGAGTGTACGAAAACGTGTGTGAACAAGTATACAGTACAAAAGTATATATGAAAATGACTAATACACATGAACCAATAAATGGTCAGTCTTAACATGATTGGTTGTAATGTCATGTGACAACAAGGTCATACATGTTTATTTAGTTAGTGGACAGACAAAAGCATATTGCCAGTCATAATGAAATATCGATCCATACACACATAGCAAAATATAACAGACTGTCAAAAATAAAACACACACATCATGTGGATACATATCAGTGCCACACAGTTTTTGTGAGAAATCTTGCAAACAGGACGATAAATCTTTGGAAACCTTCCTTTTATTCCTATTATAATGTACTATATATACTTACATATATGCGACTGTACAGCTTGAAAACGATATCGCTGAAAATGAGTGACTTTCACTGAAAGCTGCAGCTTTTATTTAGCTTAATAGAGATTTTTCAACCACAGTTATGTGTCTAAAAATACTAACAGCTTACTTTTCTTGTAGACCGAATAACGGCTTTCGATAAGTGTCGAGCACTTTTGCCTTGAGAGCGTAATATTCATTCAGAATGTAGGTGTCTTCACGAATTGGATATTGTAACTGTTTCGAAAAGTTAGACAAAACAATGAACTGAAAATATAATCTGCGAACAAATTGCGCGAATGTGATTAACGAGTATTCTCAGATATCCAAGTGTATACGTATTAGGATGGAGAGTAAGCATATATAGTGTGTCAACTGAAAATTCTGTCCTTTTCAAATTATTTAGAACTATTCCAGCGTGTTTAGGTAATTTATCATAATTCACTCTAACTGGACGATCAGATTATTCCAAGAGACCTGTAATATCTACTATCTGGGTACTTATATCTCGGTCTTAACCTACGTCGAAAGCCATGTCATTGAATTTTTATTCGTATCATACTGATTTGTTAGCAACCACTCTGGTGTACTAAACTTGTAAGTCACTGAACACGAGAAATAAAGAGATAAACAGCTGTAATTTCATATTATACTGGCCTTTTCTCGGGACCAATAGTAAATTCTGCTTTCTAAGTCTGTCTTCAGTGTTGTCTCTCAGTGGTCAGTTGTTGGTGATAACCAGTGGCATTTTTAGTTCTCATCCAGTCAGTCAGTCAGGAAGAAGTGCTGTCCCATTACTCTACTTCATGAAATTGAGAAAACTACTGGACAATTTGCATACTTCATTTCACGGTTTTGGTTGAATCTAATCATGAAACAAGTTTCATCTAATCATCTTAATGCGTACTGAACAAAATATATTGTGCAAAATCCAAAAGAAGGCAGTTGAGGTAGCTAGGGGGAAAATCAGTTTTGTTTGTGTATATTAACTAGGCGAGGAGCCTGTACACATGGCGTATAATTAATTAGCAGTTGATATATATTCAGTTTCATGGGAATTAACAATTACACCTTCAGCTAGACACTCATTTCTTCATAGTTATCTAGAAATTTCAAGTACACGTGCCTTATTCCATCACAGATCGTAAGTATGTTAGCCACATGATTGTTAGTTCGGAGAAACAGTGCTCTATGAGAATTTCGAACTGCACCCAAATAATTCATGTTACACTCAATATATCAAATAGTTTACGAATAAGATAAACTCCATCATTGGTTAAATAATTCTCCTTGAAACTGGTGTTCCACTCAGAGCTGATTATTGGGAATAGCTCATGTTTTATTGAAATGCGATAGATAAGAAAATCAACCGCCTTGTCTGACTTACTCGATATATAGTAGAAAGGTTTTCTTTCTCTTCATATGTTTCCATACCATCGAACAAAGCGAAGGTTTCTATCTTCGAAATCTGTAAGTTTTATTGTTTTAAAGTTATTTTATACAATTTTAGTCAAATGAATTCAAACCTTGTCAGTCGCGAAGCGCTTCATATCATCACTCAACCATGCCAGCTCTTCAATTGAATCATACAAAGTCTTCTTGATTTCGTCAACCATATTGAGAACCTGTGTTTTCAGATGAGAAAGAAAGTGTTATTAGGGTAGCATACAAATTGGATCTTTTAGGAATTAGCGATGAATAATAATCTAGTTGTGCATCGGTGGCTCACTCGTGAAATACTCGCCAGTTACTTAAGAAATCCAGAGTTCAGTCGATAGCTGACGTACTCCGGTAGTAGGCCTCGTAGAGAGGGAATTTTGCGGGTGAGGTGAGCAAACTTACCTCGGAAATGCACAACACTACTACTACTACTACGTGAGCTTCATGACTCAAACTTGAAGCCCTATGTTCCACCGGAAACCCAAAGGAAATAAAAAAATAATAATAATTATTTCTATAGTCTAGAAATAATGTCAATAAACCTTTTGGTAAGAAATTTCGAGAGGCTGAAACATGTTTAGCTCATTCCAATGACCAAAACCCAACGTATTATAAAATTCACAGATGCGTGTTCTACAGTCACACTCACTCACATCATCAATGTCGCTGCTCAGCATAGATTAACAATAAATGTTCAAGACAAAACACAACCTTGATGGTAATGAATGCACACACTTCTTCAAATCTAAATAATTTTGAAGGAACTTCTATATTTCCCTATTCTATGGATCCTTCCAAGGTGGGTGTAAGCTGAAGGTAGACTGATGGTATTCATATAATATGTCTTAAGAAGAGATTACGCCTCACAATACGTGTAATGAAGGTATTTTTGTTACTGAGATTTGAGAATACTGTTTATCAGTTAGGAGGAAGGAGAGAAAAAACAAATGTTTGTGTACTTCTCGATAAAAGACTTCAACATTGTGATGAAGAATGCTGTGAAAAAGTAGAATTCATAATCATATAAATAAGATTGATTTCTTCAGTCATTCATGCCTAATGAAACAAGGTGTGGGCAATTAAATTTTCACATATGCTGAGCTCTTTATGTCGTTTTGTAACAAGTGCGCTACCATGAAGTTTGTAAAATTTTAATGTGCTGCGTTTAAACAATTGGAGGTATCCCCGTCGTAGAAGACGTGAAAAAGAATTAAGAAGATTCGGTATGACTACTTAAGAGCATTTCGCTTGTTGAAACAGTTCCGTATATATTGCCATTAACCTCGGTTACTTTACAAGCTCAAGTTTTCTAGCCTGTTTAAAGCCTGGAAACAGAGGTAGTGTTGGGTATGCATCCAGCGGCCCCACACGACTTAACCATTCAAAACGCTACAGATACTTCAACGCAGAAGAAGGATACAAAAAATACGAAAAATATAAAATGGAAAAATATTCGTCTCTGTTATCGGAGAGGCAAACTGATACAGCGGGCTGGTGAAAGCCTGTCGTCAAGATGCCAGTAAGCCGACTGATGTGTATTCTCCAGATGGAAGGCAGAGTAGGAATGGGTATGTGGACTGTCCGAGACAGAGAAGGATGCTCAGGTACCCAAAGAGATGCGAAGAAATAGCATAGAAGTACTGGGTATCTGCCAAAGCAGATGGAAGGTATGTGATTCACAACATCGTAAACGGACACACCAAGGGAACGAGGGGCTATGATGATGTCACCAGTGTCAGCCAAAGCCCTAATTCAGTGGGAAACAATCTACTCCTGCAGGATCATGGCATCAAGATTCAACTCAAGAGGAAGGAAGGAAGGGAACAGTTATCCAATGCTACGCACAGTGCTGAAAACAACGTGAAACAAGAAAGAAGCAGGATTTTTACAGGCAACTACAAACAGTAATGGACAACATCCCAAATGATGACATCAAAATCCTCATGGGAAACTTGAATTCAAGCTAAACTGAGAGCAGATTATACAGGAGGAGAACTCATCATGGGTCGAGAGGCTGTTGCTTGGAGAAATGAATGAGAATGGAGAAATATTCTCAGACTTCTACTCTTTCAACGATTTGATGATCGGAGTGAGCGTGTACAAACACAAGAGTATACACAAGGCAACATGCCTTTCGCCTGACACACACACCACAAACCAGATAGATTTCGTCTCAGTGTTGCTCAAGGAAGTGGAGACGCAGCTGGCCCGCTGGATCCAAAGTAGAGGAGGGGAGCACATGTGAACTTACACCATCCATCATCAGTTTCAAGAAGCCTTCCGGGTGAAGTTGAAATCCGAGAAAACAACCGCAGACAAGCCATTGTAATTCACGTTAAATATTCAGAAAATGAAAGAAAAACAACAAAGAACACCTCCACTACAGATCAGATCACAGGAAATTTGAAGACACTACACTGAGGTAACCTGAGTGGGACAATATTGGAACTTTCTGCAGGCGATATTTAAGGAAACAGGTACAGCTGTTCTAATAAGAAAGAAGAGACACAAAAGGAATGGCTGTCAACGGAAACCATCTGGAGGCTATTAGAAAAGGGGGACGGTGGTGGAAGAGAAGATGACTCAACGCAAAAACGGACAACAGTTGGAGAAATAGTTGAGTTCACTGTACACGGAATTGAATAGAGGAGTGGATAGGAGTGCTAGGAAAGGCAGTAGACAATTCTATGACACACTGACCGGCAACTGAAGCAGAACTGGCAGGCAGGCCGCAGGTAAGCGAGAACTGAGAATATGATATCAGATGACCTGATCATCATATGGAAAGAGATCAGTCCAGATGATGAAAACAATAAAAAGTGCTTATAAGAACCTGATTAATAATGAAAAGTACTTGATAAAGCAATGAGCTGATCACTTCAAAGGAGTGGAATACGCTGGAGCACCGATAATAAGATTCTGTATGATCTGTATTTCATTCTAATTTCTTAACACTCATCTCTTTCGTCACTGAGATTATCCTGTTTCGTTGTTGGTGTTACCAACCTGCTTTTGTATAATAATCCATCACCATTTTCTTCGGAATATTTCTGGAGCAATGCATTCTTGGTTGGCTCATTCCTAAACTTCCTCGATGACAACTATTTCTGTGTGTGATCTGTGTGATCTGCAAAATGGGACTAGAGAAGGCAGCTGTTGACGAAAGTATGCAGTAAACTGTTAGGTATTCCTTTCGTGACTTGTAGAGAAAGATTCTGATTCAAGTTGAAGAGGTGACAGTGAACCACTGACCTACCTCTCTTCTTTCACTGATTACATCTCGAATTAGATCACTGAGTGCTTCACTGGAAACTTGAAGATTTCAATAGCTGTTCCCTGCGTTGATGTAACTTGGTGTTGCTCAACATCACTGGAAAGATATAACTGTCATATTGTCCGAATTATCTCGTAGCCTCAGGTGTAGCTTATTGGTGATTATCTTAGCCTAATCGACAGAGAAATTAGAAATGTTGGTTGACATTGATAATATTATTGTCACGTTTATTATTCGCTTGGGTTCCGACTGGAACATAGGGTTTCAACAGAACATTTCCATTCCACCCCATTCTCTGCAGTCCTCTTTCACTTGTGCCACTGTTGCTCATATCCGCCCATCTCCTCTTCATACTGTTTTCACACCACCAACTTCGGACTAACACCCAACACATCGTATCACATTTGTGATCCACACGAGCGATGGTCTGGTAGGTGATGCCAATCGATGGTCTTCTCAGTGTGTCCGATCCATCTCCATTTCATACAGAATATTCTTCTTGATTGTTTCGTTGACAACTCTTTCTGACTAACCATCTGATCTTCATTATGGAGTCAGAGAAGCCAGGCTGGATCGAAGTCTGCAGTATCCTGTTGAAATTGCCTCTCGTTACTCTCAGAACAAATTTCTGATTGTTGTTGAAGAGCTGACTCACTGACTGACATAGTATTGGTGTTGAAAATACGAACTTGGTTTTTCATGGTGTGGATTGGAGAAGATTACGAAACTGATTTCAGAGTGATGAAGATGTACTTTGCCTTCGCGATTCTAACTCCAACTCCTTCATTCGTTTCTCCTTTGTGTTGAAACAATGCTTCCTACATAAGTGTATGCAGTTAACTCGCTCAAATTTCTACCGTAGATAGTTGACTGGTGCTTACTATTTTTGTTGTCGTCGGTTGATTATCTTTATCACTTTCGTTTTCCTTATGCTCACTTGAGATTCCTACTTCCTGGCAGTCTCTTCTGTCAGTTTATTAGCTTTAAGTCTTTGGACTTATGTGACAATAGACATAAGTTATCGGCTGAATCCAGATCATCTGGTGTCTTCTTCTCAGTCCAACATATTCCTGTCTCTTTGCCGCCTCACATAGAGTTGCCACCATCACAATTACGAATGTGAGAGGCAATAACAGTCAGACTAATCTTCATCCTGTCTTTACTTCAGATAATTCAGTAAGTTTTCCGTTGTAGATCACTTGACGCGTGAGACTAAATAAATTAAGAGGTTAAAGTAGAAACAGTAAACTTATTTCTCCTAATATTTATGGACAGAAAAGGCCTCATTTTCACCTACCTGTTATAAGTACTGGCTGTCATGATGCTTTTCATTAGGTGGGAAAATAATTTCGAAAGCGCTGGCTTATATAGAGATACAAAAAGCAACGAAAAATGAATTACAGAACCAACCTCATTTCGCTGACTTTCTTTTAAGTACCGAGCAACGTAGTGTCTTTCAAGAGTCCATGGAAATGTATCTCTCAATCGTTTCATACAAAACGCCGAGAATTTCGGGCTCAGCTCTAATCAGAATAAACAAGACACAGAAATGCTTTGAAATATACATCAAATTGAAACATGTTAGGTGAATGATTTTTAACGAACAAGTCAGTAAGATATCACACGTACACCATGGACTTCTACTACAACATGGATCAAGAATAATGAACACAGATCAATCTTGAAATAAATCGAATTCCCAATGAAAACATGATTTACTTCACTTATCATCAAATAAACACGATAGTCGTAACGTACGTGAGTCCATCTCAGCATTTACACTTTCTGAACTTTCCACCTCAAAATCAATAGTGGTATCCTGATACGCCATGAAGTCCATGATAGCCATATTCTGAATTGTACTGTCGAAAGGGAATAAAAGTAAATATTGTGATTCAGTTTCAGCTGTAAACCTTTTATGAGTATTGCACATAACTTCAAATATCGTATGCTTATTTATTTGAACAGCGGAAAAGTAGGTGACGAAGTCAAGAATATCTCGACTTGTCAGTTTGCAGATGGAAACTAGTCGAAAATCCTGGAATAATACAGAAGATATCAAGTCGAAATGATTTTGTGAAGTCGTATTTATCTGTGTGTCATTCATTCATCTCAGTTGAAGTTCCGTGGTTATACGATGTTTCATACTGCTACTTGGTACATACTGATGAGTAGTATCAAACAAGTGCGAAACAGCTGTCCATTAGGTTTAGGTTTTCTATGCTTCTCTAAACAATATTAATCCATGACCGAAGTTAGAATGAAATATTTGAACATAAGAGTCCAGTTTATCAGGAAAATATTGACCGTTTTCAGACTAAACAAAACACATTTTAATGCACTTTATAGTAAGTGAAGAAGTCGCACTGTATCCAGTGAAGCATGTTTCAACAAAATATATCTTCAATTCTATTCAGTGAAGGTAATGTAAAACTTACCTTTTACCAGTAGGCGTTGACAGTTCAATTTCATGTAAGGCACACTGATGTTGCAGCGCTGTTGTGTCCGAAATACGTAGTGAGAATTTCCTATAACCTTTTAATCCAATTTGTTGAAACAACTTTTCAAACAGCTTTTCCCAATTCATCTTAACATGAATGTAGCAAAACACAAACGATTAATAAATTCGGCAGATTTAACGAAAGTGATGTGAATTTTACAGACGACTATCGAATATAATTATTTAAGTGTTTGTTTTTAGGGATTTCGTTGGTTACAGGAATCACCATGAGCTGACATTAGTTAGAGAACCATTGGAAAACCTGGGAGTACTGAAAAGCTGTTTAGTCTTAGGTTGGGACCCTCCAGCAGTACGCAACCACCAGGGTTCGAGCCCAGGACCTTATGGTTACAGGGAGAACTTGTACACCGTCAAGCTACTGGGACCCGATCCAGTGGCCCATGAATTTTAACTTCTGCCAATTCACGACATAGCGCGACCCCTAGTCAATGTCCTAGGCAAGCATCCGTCCTCATACCCGACCTGCTGCACCCTACTGGTCACGACTTCTCACTAGAACCCCAGTTAATTACCTACCTGAATAAGGCAAGCCGCTAGTGAGTTACACAATGAAACTTCAAGGAGGGTTTCTACAGCCTAAGAATAATTATTGAGTAAATAGGTCATTTTGTTTCATTACTAGGCTGGGCTGCTGGACCGATGGTGTTCTGGGAAATATTCAAAGAATGCAGTGTTCAGAAACAGACGGTTTCTGAGTTAAAATTCCTCTAAACAGCTTTCCTTAGCAGCTTAAACAAAAAATATGATGCTGCGAGATTAGAGAAACAACTATGCAGAGGTTGTCAGATCGCAAACATTCGTTCACTGATCTGATTTTTGCAAATTCATATCTCTTTTACTCTCAAACAATTTTATCTTCACACCTGACTGAAAGTCCCTACCCCTGAGGTGTTTTCATCAACTATATGACTACTAAATGCAGGGGATTTTTGACTGATTACATTATCCATTCTGTCCTAACACTGACTTATCTATTTTCAATTCTCAATGGGGATTATTTCAATTTCTTCCACTGAAGGCACCGCATGTTGTCTGAAGTCATTTGAAATAGTGGAACGTGTTTAGATGAGCTGGAATTCCTCTAAGTCGCATAATCTTCAATCTCCAAATCAAAACAATATCACCTACTCGACACGGTCAAATGCACAATTAAATAAAGAAAACGAAAGCGCAAGATGTCAGATACCGTTGACCGATGTAAGTAGCCTGACACCCCTGACACATGTCATCCAACATTGCTGGCCAGTCTATTTGATGTTCATAATTCCCTTAGAACTAGATAGTCAGCAATGATAGTTGACCCGAATTCGAATAAATCAGAAATTTCTCCAGTTGGAGTACTTCATCGCTTTGCATGCTTCATATGTATTCTGCCCTGAATCACATAAATTTCAGAGACATAAATGGAACTATGCATATCAGTATAAGCATGTTACACTGGTTGCATGAATCTTTGTTCACTATTCACTCAGTTAAATTTCATATCCACATTCACAAAAGCGAAATCATCTGATGCTAAAAGCTTATACAGTTTGTAAAATGAACGCCTTGTTACATATTTTCAGACACTTAATCTCTTGTAAGACAGACTCAGAAATTCACCATTTTTATTTCAATATTTCTATCTATAAATGACCTCAACCGTGACATTCCTACCTAATGAGTTGGCATTGTGAAGTATTGAAAAATCAAAGTATGTACATTGAAATATGCGTCGGTGGCACAGCGGTTAGAACGCTCGCCGACCATGCACATGGTCCGGGGTTCGATCCCCGGCCACCGAAGTACTCCTTTACCTCGCTAAGCCAGAAATAATGCTGGTAAAGAGAAAAAGTTGGGCATGAGGCAGGCTAGCAACCCCATCCTGTAAAAATAATCACCACTGCTACAGTATCTTCAAGCCACTAGCTTGAGGTCCTACGTACATTGTACATTGAAATTTACGAAATGTATAAATTGGCTGTACCTACTTACCAATGGACAGATTGACTTCAATTCATTCATTGTAACCTCTTTATCGTAATCAGTAAGGTCAGATTTCTTCGAAAAATACAGATTCTGAAAAATAATCAGAAATATTCATTAAATTAAATCGTATTTCTTTGATAGAAGAATGAACAACTTAGCAGTGAAGGCGACGAAGCGCAACCTCTTACTTCACTATCATTTCAGAATAGGTATGCAAACAGATTTTGACAAGATCCTACCACATCACGGTGTTTTCTGTTGTTCACAATGCACTTTTACATTTCAGTAGTATTTTATGTGATTCACCATGGTTGAATACTCTTCGTTTTCAGCATTCATGGAATAAATGCAATGATCGACTCAGCTATTCCTAGCTGATTTTCTGTCACAATCCATTCGAATGTTCAGTGATAATAACTCCCTTCACTATCCTTGTTGTGGATACAATCATTCTAAGACTAGCGTTTGTTGGCGTTAACGCCTCCCCATTAATAAGAGTATCACAATGGAAATAAATTCAATTTTGTTTTATTTAAAAGGTGTAATGATAAAATGTGTCATGATGAAGCTATCACATTTTTTTCAAAAAGAATATGGCCACACAAGGACTTGATTCAACGCAATTCTCCTTTCCACTTAGAAATTCAGGTGTCAGTTTGTTCCCAACACAATAAATTTCAGATGGAACTTATCGAAAATATCATGAGCTTTCTTAGTGAATGACAAAAAATCGACTCTCATGTCTGTTGACACGTACAACGTTCTATCTGAAATCCTGATCAGTGATAATGCACATTTGTGTCGTATGATTTAGTCTAGTGGTCAGATTGCACAAAATACTAACAGTCTTCAATCAGCGCGCTCAAGACTAAATAGAAAATTCGATTAACGATTTGTTTTGCTTCATAGTGGGTTCAGATACTCATCACACTACTGTTTTTCGAGTCAAACAACTTGCCTTTTACTCGAGTTACATACGTATATACTACCAAAGGAAATTTACATTCCATAGCTATGTTAAAGTTCCAAGATTAACGGAAAACTTACACGGCACAAGCGTGTGTGCAATTCAAAAGCAGCTTTCAACTTCCCTTCTCGGTTGGAGATACTCCCAGTTTATATGCATATTCGTAATACTTTGGAGCAATATTTGCAGCGTCCACCTGTTTAAAGAAAACACGATGACTTAAAATATTCATGAATTCTTATACAATGCGAAATCAAAGATATCTGTCTCATGAATAAGACATCAAACAAGACTACTCTCACGTCATTTCACAGCATTTTCCTAAGAGACACACAGAAAAGCTAGTTGACAAACCAACTCTTGGATGTTACATAACGTGTAAAACACTTCGAAATCTATATTCTCCTGATATTTCATACTGAAATGAGTAGAAGTGGTTATATCTGAAGGAGGCCTGTTTAAATCATTGGACTAGCAAAATTTACTATCCATCATGAATTGTACTCACTCCGTTTCTTATTGTTTTACTCATCCTGTTGTCTCAAAGAGTTGAAGTCTATACTTATGTATAATTTCAAGCAAGTTCCTGCCAATAGCTGGGGATGTTTTGTAGGAAATGAGGGAATTACGTCATGGATTCGTACCAGAGTATGCTTCGCGTGGAACGATAGTGCTTCAGATGACATTATCGGCTATTGTATTATTTGAAGAGTATGCACAAGGAATGAATATCTTGCTATAAAATGTGTTGAGGAATCTGTATTGTGTCTAAGTGGACTTTTCACAATGAAGCTATCACTGTTGCCATTGTATGGTATTCATCATTATAGTCAAATGAACTCATGGTTTCCCATGCAAAAAATAGACTGAGTTTAGTGAAATTTTAATTCAGTCTCTTCTGCATGCACAGTTACATATATGATATATGTGTATGATGAGTCAGCAGATTTCACTGATTTTAAAGATACGTGATTAAGTCGGTAATTCTGAAAATTCGATATGTGCGTCAATTGAAGCGATAGCATGAAGCTCTTCAAACAATGAGTACTTTGACATGTGCAACTGAGTGAACTAAGTGGATTAAAATTTCAAGAGTCCCCTTCATTGACAAATTTATTTTAATGGCTTTTTTCATTTCAAATTTGTAATCACATTGACAGACCAGATTAATTTAGAGAAATTAACATTCGACTTGAAATCGAGTATGAATTCACTCGTGATAAAAGGCTTCATTTCATCGACTTTTGCTGCAGTAGCGACTTAACCAGTGTGACTGATATAATATTTTATTTTACTGTTTTCGATTAAACTTGGATATTATGGCGTGATTCGTCTGAAGTAAGGCAGCTTAAATTCCTGTTGACTGATTCAGACATCACCAGAATTCTGTGAGGAATTTGAAATCTGATGTTTTCAGTATTTTACGCGACGTTCGAGAGCAATCAGTGTTAAACTTTAGAAATGCCCATGTCACAAGATGACCAGTCATTCCACACCCCTACTGGAAGTTACTTTGACCTGTGATCTCAAGTCATCTAGTGTTATCGAAGTAATTTAAACATCAATTTAAACACAGTCAGTAGGTGAAACTAACTAAAGAGTGGATTTCAACTTAAAGTTGTCACAAAGCGTTTAATTTGCAACGGACCAGTCATTCAGACTGGTTGATCCATTATTGTTTAACGATTATTCATTGCAAAAATTTTTTATTCTTCTTCCTATTTGGTTAGCATTCATTGAATTAATGAAAATTTTTTGGAAATTACCTCTGTTTCACAGGCGTCCATATACGAGGCGAATTTTCCATCTGAAATCTAAAGCAATTAGGAATTTAGAGGATATCCTTTTTCGCAACTGCTATTTCATGCATCAGAATTAAGTAAACCGATAATAGTAACTAACATGTAGGAAAGAAAAAAATTTCTTTAGGCACTTCAAGTGTCTAACACTGACTATCGTTTTTCTGAAAGTTGTTCCTATGCCCGGCCTCTCCTTGACTTCATTGACTCACTGATGAAACACTTTTCGTCTTCTGAAGGGTGATAACTTTATTTTCTGAAGATGTTTATGGACTCATTGAATGACGAGATCCCGAGCTTTTGAATTTCCTTACCTGAACAGAGGTTGATCCACCTGTTCAATTATACAGTAATTGACATTTATGCACACCTTTGTATATATGAAGTACTAAATATTTCCAAAACGTCTCTATGGATTGTGGTAACAATTCTCAGACAAATCAATTTCTATAGACTTTGTTTCGTTTAGACTTTGACATTCTGTGTAAAAGGTAAACAAATGTAAGTTCTCAGTGGTGTTTATGAATTTTAATGTCTCCTGTCAGTTGACATCATGTCATCTTTGCAAATACGTAAACGATTTCTATGTTCCTTGAAGAGAAACCGATGAATTAAACGATGACTCCAGCTTACCCCAAACAAAAATTCGTTGTTGTTTAATTCAAAGTCAGCCTATCTAATCGGAACCTAATGTTCAGTTTAGTCAATTATTATTATTATTATTATTATATCCTTTAATTCCTAGATGGACATAGAGCTTCAGCTGCGCGTCTCCATTGCCTTCTGTTTTCTGCCAACTTTTTCACCCCAATCAAAGTCTGCCCACATGCTTTCATCTCCTCTTCACATCACCTCCTCCAAGTCACCCTTTCACTGATGACCAACTCGCCGCTTCCCATTCAATTGGGTTCCACTCGAGCGATGGCTTGTCTAGTGATGTCACTTGGTGGTTTCCTCAGAGTATGGTCAGCCAATCCATCTTCATTTCTTCCTGCCTATTTGTTTCACAATCGGTTCCTGGTTGGTTCACTCATTGTCAGAGGTCCCACCCTGTTCCTGATCTTTTCTGGCCGGCAATCTGATCTTGAGTATTGAGCAAAGACAGCTAGCTGTTGATGAAGGTCTGAAATTTGTTTGAGATGCTCTTTATGACGCGCTGGCCAAGTCTCTGATCCGCCTGGTGAGTAGCACTGACTCACTTCACATTGGAGTTGAAAATTCGGATCTTATTTTCATTTCCATGCTGAGTGCTGTTGACCTCCTGGACACAGACTTCAGAGTAATGAAAGCTTGTCTTGCTTTTCCGATCCGCGCTTTGATATTCTCGTCATTTCCTGGCGCCTGTAGTTGAAACGATGCTTCCCACGTAGGTAGGTAGGTGAAGGAGGTTGTTTCTTTCAGGTTCCTCCCATTTATGCTGGCTGATTGTTGTCTGTTGTTGTTGTTGCTATGGCTGTTGGTGTTGGCCAGGAATCTTCATCACCTCTGTTTTATCTATGTTTACCTGTAGTCCTATCTTTGTTTACTGAATAAAACTGATGAAATCACACTCCCAGTCACCATTTCTTCGTGAATGTAATTCACTAACAATTTTATTCAACAGAGGAAACGTAGACACCGAGAGTGAGAGATCTGTGTCCGTATATGGAATGCACAAGAAGTTTCCCTCAGTTAGAAGAGAGAATTCTGCATAGAAAGATACTGTGTTATGTGATGACTTTTTATTAATTGCCATCAGCTTTGCTCTAGAGACGTCTGCTAATACATTGCAACAACATTGGAATATGAAGCTTCTGCCAGAAGTCTTCCTCATTCCTTAATCTGCAGGTCTTTCGTATACCCTTACAATCAGCAATAGCTGAAGACCGATTGTGTGTGCCATTGCGCACCGTAAATATAGCAGGTGAAAATAGCTCTGAATTAGCAAGTAAATTAAATTTGCACTCTATGTCAAGTTGATGTATTATCATGAAATGCCTAATAAGTGTTAATTATGAAGCTTGCTTACCTCAATCACATTTCTTCCCTCTTTAATATCCATGGAAAATAATGGGCAACCTCCTGTCATGCTCAGAATCGGAAAGTAGATATCATTTAAACTGAAATTGTCAACTTCTTGTTCTGGCGTTACTGTTTCTGATAGATTTTGAGGAGAAGAAGACGGCAACAAATCCCATCCACCAAATGATTTTTCTATCAATCGATTTGTCTGTCTTCTAATCTGCTGAAAAGAAATATTTCCATGGTCCACACAGGATTTGTAGAATTTACGAACAGTAGTTAGCCGAGTATCGTTCGTGGAATACGACCCATTCGCTATGTGGTAATATGAAACAAGAAACCACATCAGTGTGTAATTGATATCAGTTTACAAAACAGTTTGAAACTGTTAAACAAATCACACGCATACACTTCATCGCATGACTACAGTGACTTCAGCCGAGGACATGCAAACACCTACACGAATTTACTAGTGAAACTACTACTATAAAAGGATTCACATATTCCAAATGGATTTGAATTATTGATCGCACTGATCAATTTCGTGTGCAAAGTTGTATAAAGCATTTTGGAGAAATCATCGAAACTTTACGTTGGCAAAGAGAGTATTTTCAAATGACCATGGTGGATAAATAGTATTTACATAATTGACGGCATCTGACAATGAGAGTGAACAGAACTTCATTTTTCAACGTGTTTCTCACTTGCTCTGTCTAAACAGAGACATATGTGAAGGAGGAGACTTCGAAAAATTCACTTAATAATCAAATTGTTCGTTACAACAAATGCTGAAATCGATTCCATTATTCACTATGTAGCTCCATTTATTTTATCGAATGCAGACAATTATTATTGAATTGATGAAATCAGCAGAAACATTTTCATAAAACTACATACTACCGACTGATTGAGATAAGTGGCTGAATAGCACTCATGTCAACCAATGGTGACTGCTAGCCAAATCGAAGTGATCTGAGCAATGGGCAGTAATCATTCTCATTTGGGGCCGAAATAATTAGCAGGTTACGAGTCTGAATTAGGGCATTGCGAGTTTGCTCATGTAGCTGTCCAAAATTCAGTTGGTTTGAACTGACATGGCTCTCTGAGCTGAGTGAAACTGGGTACACCAATTTGGAGCTCATTCTCAAACGAATAATATTGTCATCCGGCATTTGCATCATCTCGATCTGGCATGGGTAGCAATCAATACTGGTTGGTGTGAGTAGTATACACCTACTGAACTCAATAAATGATTAGTGTGTAGTTGATTCTACACATTTATGCTCGTAGTATGAAGCATATCACATACTGTGATCTGGAAGACATTTGGTGTCCAGTGGTGAATTCGGTCTCGTCTGCCGACACTTTATGGAGTACTTCAAATCACTTTTGACTAATTTTCTCATCCACAGATGCTGATGGGTTACTACTTGGTGTATATAAAACACCTCAACTGAAGTTCTGTCATAATGTGATGTGAGGAATTTATTTCTACTGATTTAAGCTAACAAAGTTGTTAGACGTCAGACAGAAACGAAATCCTCTGTCGTAGGATAATTCGGTAGAAACTTATTCTCCATATAAACTTCATCACAGTTGTGATACGATAGTGAAAAGTTGACGTGAGCACACAAACTATGCGCAGTTAATCAGTTAATTCATAAAGATATTACTTCTTCTGTCGGAAGAAGAAGCGTATTTTGATGTATGCTCGTCAAAATCATTTAACACACATATCAACACACTCTACTGAAGATTAGATGACCCTCCAGAAAGGATTAGAAACAGCGAACTCTGGTCGGCGATGAACCAACAAAGAACCTGTCAGCAAACTAATGTGCGAAAGAAAATGAATATGCACTAGCTGCACTGCATATGGCGATGTTCGAGTAAATAGTACTCCAAAAAGGCCCTCGATTGTAACATGTTTAAGGAAAGGTGAGTTGAGCGTCGATCAATAAAAAGACATGGATGTGATCGTCTGATGAGCAGATGAAAGCTTATGGTCACTCGTGTAGCCAGTTGAAAAGGATTGCAGAGAAAAGGATTAGATGTATAAGTGCTACTGAAACCCGATACTCTCCTCGGAATCCATGAGATTAATAATATAATCATTATGAGTTTATTACGAAATATATCTTTCTTACCAATTATTTTCCAGATGTCATGAAGTGTCTTTTCTGTGATTTGTGAAACCCTGGTTATTTCCAACTCGCCTTCTGGAACGGCGTGATTATTTTCCCAATCAGAGCAAGCATATTGATAGAAGTCATTACATGGGTCAATCAGAGAAACGGCGTTCGTACGATTATAACTCTGTCGCACAGAGACGACTACAAGGGAGAAATATTCACACTAGCATGAGATTAAAAGCGGGAATACAAACAAAAATAAAGGAGAGCAGAGAAGAAATCAATTATGGACCAAGAAGTGAACACAGAAAACCAGAAAAGGTCGACTGAACTCCCGAAGTTGTATCAGTTGGTGTCATCCATCGATGGGCCGACATACTTGTTGATTATTGGTTCACACTTGCATTCTCACCATATCCCAATGGTGCACAGCTGAAACCTATCACAACTGAATTTACTCCTTCCATGGTGTATACACTAAACAATAACTGAGAATCGATTCAGTCATCACCTCACAGAGAATGTTTCACAACACACGCATTGAAATCTCATCATCTATGGAAAGATGCTTCAGGCAATCCAAGTGCACAGGTCAGGTATACACCTGAAAGACTTCCGCCCACTCGGAGTGTATGGCTGATTTTTCTCATCAGTGCCAAAGACCACGACACGACTGGGATCACACATCACATCAAGCTAAAATCTGCTGGAGATCAGTGTGTATCAATCATACACGTGATACTTCATCACAAAAGTGACAGCAAATACAAATTTAAGTAAACTGATTTGTTCCAGTTGAGTCAGTCGATGTGCTGCTTTCTTGCCATGAATAAACTGATAAATGAGAAAAATGATAGTAATAATGGAAGAAGTAGTTTTATTTCAGTCAACAGTTTCTGATAATTTAATTTCTGTGTGTCTTCGTCGCCTTTCTGAATTTAGTGAAGTGGAGGATAATTCAGTGACCTGGATTTTTTCACGGTAGGATTTTCTTGAACTACGCAATTGGTCTAAGTTCTACACACAGTTGTGTCACCGTAAAACCTTTTTATTCAGTACCAAGGCCGTTAAATGTGGTGAATATATATTCCGTCAATCCATGGCAACTATTACATTTATGCAGCAGATATACAGAGAGTTCAAGAGATTCTCATATCTACCTGACACGATCTCTTCCATGTCGCCTTTATCGTTGCCTATTCATATTACACTCGAAAGCCTGTCTCGAGTATGATTTCACAGATGATCTCTCCACGCTTGAGTCCAAAAAATCTGTAGTTCTCTTGATATTTCATTTTCATCAACACTGCCAGGATTTCCTGTTGCAGAACCTTTCTGGAGCTAAGGCGACTGACGATGAATTTCTGCAGCAGTTTGTTGGAAATGCTACCAATGACGCATACGTCAAGTCTCTGAAGCATATAAAAAACACTGACGTACTTAAAATAAGTGTTGAAAATCTAAATTTTCTTCTCTAGGCTTAAGAAAGTAAATTTCTCCACTGATTGATTTCAAGGTAACGAAGATCTGTCTTGCTTTCCCGATCCTGACTGGCTTTGACATCCCTGTTTGTGCCTCAGTGCCGCCTTGATAGGTGAAAGAAATGACTTCCATTAGAATTCTCCTATTAATGTTGATTGGTGCTGAAAGTTTGGTCAACTATTTTCTATAAATCAATATTACTTAAATGGCGTCAGTTTAAAAAAAAATGTCTGAAATCTCCCACTAAGAAGGACAGGTCAACAATAAAAACAATTTGGACAACACGAGAATAATATTTTAACACTCTGTAAAGATAACCCCCGTATCCACCATGATATTGTCAAATTATGACCATCAATGTTGTTATTAACTCACGTGATTTCAGTGCAAATTGAATGTAGAAAACCAACCCAATGAAGGTGATTACCGTTGCAACCGATAAGAACACAAATGGGAATAAACATGATTTATTGTTGATATTTTTTTGAATCCGTTCTATGGAAAATTGAACCATTTTGAATAGTGTGTGTGTGTGTGCTTAGTGTGTTGGTTGAGTGAGAAGAAGCAGAAGTTGTAGCATGGAATTTGCTTAAAGTTATTGTATATTTATTTATACGCTTATACAGATATTTTCTTTTGTGCGCTAACCCAACCACTGTACCGTATAAAACTGGTTGGATAAAATAAATAATTAATAAGTTAACTATTGATTGCAATATTACATAAAATGTTACAAGTGTATCTTGGTATACAAAGGAAACGGCATACCATAATAATAATAATAGTAAGATCTTCAGAAGTGATGATGATGATGATGATAATAGCTGTTTTTGTTGCTTTCTTATGACTGCTTTTCATAACTGAGAAATACTCTGATCTAATTAATCACTTGGACTTATTTATTCCAAATGATAATTAAAACTGAACAAACAACAAAACAGCGCATCAACGTCAGATGACCAGAAACGAAAACAGCCATTGCATATGTCGTAGGATAAATATCTCTAATTTCTAGACAGCTTATCTTATCTAATAGCGTGAAACACTACCACAATCATAATCACATACCACATACCATATACTGAAAAAAACTCATTTTGTAAACTATATCTAAAAATATTCAACTAATTTTGTTACAAATAGTTAGTTGTATGATGAGTGGGTGGTTTAAGTCAGTGAGTGAGTACGTTATAGTGTGGTGAGAGCAGGCCGTGAGAAAATAAATATAAAATAATTGCATCCGAAAGCTTCGCAAACTAACCATCCAGCTCAGAGAACAAAACCACATCAAAATCATCCACCTGAGCTACAAATCTTCTCTATAATATCTAAGCTATAATAATGTATGTGAAATATGTATAAATACGTGTTGATTTTCATAATAAAACGATCTGTTGCCTGGCCCATGTCTTCTGTTGTTAAATAGGAGTGTGGCTATATCTGGTTATAAGGAAGAAGAGAACACGAAGTTCAACAAAGATGGTGATCTTTTCGGCGATTTCATTCTCAAAAGCAGCTGTACAATCGCATTTATATAAATTATTTTACATGGATGTGCGTCGGTGACATAGTGGTTAGGATACTCGCCGACCATGCACATGTTCCAGGGTTCGATCCCCGGCCACAGATGCACTCCTTTACCTTACTAAACCAGAAAAAATGCTGGTAAAGAGGAAAGGTTGGGTATGGGGCCAGCAACCTCATCCTGTAAAAATGAACACTGCTACAGAATCTTCAAGCCACTAGCTTGAAGCCCTATGTTCCGCTGGGGAATGTGAAGGAAAAATTAATATTAAATTAAAGTGATTTTACATGGATATAGTAATACACAATTAAGAGGAGCAGATGTTAGCTCAGAGCACTATCTCGTACAAGGGACAATCCAAATGAAATTAAAGGCTTTCAGGGAAACAGGAGCTGCAAATAGACCACAAACGAAGTTCAAAACTCAAAAGCTGAAGGGCCAAGATACAAAGGACATCTTCATTGCAAGCATATAGGACAGAGCCGAGACACAAATCAACACCAGTGAAGAGGTCGGCGTCGAAAAGCACTAGGACAACTTGAAAACGGTGTGGAGTCAAACCTGCATGGAAGTTGTAGGCAGAAAAAAGAGGCAGAACAAACAGTGGCTCACTACGGACACTTGGAGACTAATAGAAGATTGAAGGATAGTGAAACAAAAGATTATCCAAAGGACCGACGAGCAACAAGAACAGGAGTTGAATTCAAGCTACAACACGCTGAACAAAAGAGTGAAGAAGAGTGCCAGGGAAGACAAAAGAAAATGTTATGAAGCCATGGAAAGTGAAGTAGAACAAGTTGCATGTAAAGGAGACCTCGCCACGTTCTACCAAACAACTAGGCACCTATCGGCCAAACGTTTGACACAGATTAAGCCAGTAAAAAATGACAATAGAAATTCAATCACCAAAGAAGTAGAGCAAAGAAAACACTGAGTTGAACAATTCAAAAGACTTCTAAATCGTCCACCACCTACAACGCGCCCAACAATACAAACAACGGAAGCAGAACTACCAGTGAACATCGACCTCCCGACGAAATCGGAAGTCCTGAATGCAATCAAGATGCTAAAAGCTGGAAAAGCAGTTGGACCAGATGGAATCCCAGCAAAAGCATTGAAAATGGACCCAGAAACAACAGCGGACTTGATGATACCACTACTGGAGAAGGTGTGGAAAGAGAGCAAAGTACCCGGGAAATTGGAAGAAAGGATACTTATTCAAACTACCAATGAAAGGAGACTTAAGTCAATGTAAAAAGTGGCGCGAAATTATGCTCCTGTTCATCCCAAGCAAAAAACTAAGCCGCATCATACTGGAGAGAATCAAACACGCCAACCTGGATGAAAACCTTCGACAGGAACAAGCTGGATTCAGCAGAAACAAGTCATGTATTGATTAAATCGCCACTCTACGGATCATCATTGAACAAAGCTTGGAGTGACAGTCACCTCTCCACCTCACTCAACTTCATCGACTTTGAAAAGGCCTTCGACAGCGTCGATCGAGAGGTTATTTGGCAACTACTGCGCTACTACGGGGTCCCATCGACAATTATACATCTCATCCAACAGTTATACGACAATGCTGCATGTCAAGTAATCCACAACGGGAAAGTTATGGAAGCCTTCGAAGTGAGGACTGGAGTGAGGCAAGGCTGTCTACTTTCGCCAATGATATTCCTGACTGCAGTAGATTGGATAATGCGACAGACAACGGGCAATGAGGAAACAGGCATCAAATGGACTCACACAAAAACAGACTTGGAGGATCTGAACTTCGCCGATGATATATGTCTGATTTCCCACAAACTGGAAGATATGCAAGTGAAAAGCAACAAGCTGGCAGAACAAGCATCCAGGGAAGACAGGACTTTAGGCGAACATAGATAAAACAGAGGTGATGAAGATTCCTGGCCAACACCAACAGCAACAGCAACAACATAAACAGACAACAATCAGCCAGCATAAATGGGAGGAACCTGAAAGAAACAACCTCCTTCACCTACCTAACTGGGAAGCATCGTTCCAACTACAGGCGGACGGAACTGACGAGGATATCAAAACCAGAATCGGAAAGGCGAGACAAGCTTTCATTACTCTGAAGTCTGTGTGGAGGTCAACAGCACTCAGCATGAAAATGAAAATAAGATCCGGATTTTCAACTCCAATGTGAAGTCAGTCAGTGCTACTCACTATACGGATCAGAGACTTGGCCAGCGCGTCATAAAGAGCATCTCAAACAAACTTCAGACCTTCATTAACAGTTGTCTTTGCTCAATACGTCGCTCAGGATCAGATGGCCAGCCAGAAAAGATTAGCCACCTGTTGGATCCTCGGGAGCGAACCAATCAGGAACCGATTTTGCAATTAATAGGCAGGAAGAAATGGAGATGGATTGGCTGGCCATACTCTGAGGAAACCATTGACATCACACGCCTGGCATTACTCGAGTGGAAGCCGACTGAATGTGAAGCGGCGAGTTGGTGGTCAGTGTGAGGATGACTTGCAGGAGGTTAATGTAAAGAGGAGATGAAAGCATGTGGGCAGACTTGGAGCGGGGTGAAAATGTTGGCAGAAAACGGAATGCAGTAGAGACGTTTGGCTGTAGCCCTATGTTCGTCTAGGAATTAAAGGATACAATAATAATAATATAATAATATATATGACCATATATACAGTTTTCAGGCGAAATTTGATGATTTAATTTCATGGACTCAATAAATCCATCTTTATTTACCTCTGTTGCTTGTTGTAAATTCGCATCAGGAAATAAACGTCTTTAATGGTGTTCATATGAAATAGGAAATAGATACTATGCTAAATTCTTACTAAATCAGTGGCAGATTATCTACGCTTAAATAAGGTAATAGCGAGAGATTGAATCTTCTATTTGAAGGGTAATCAGTTATTTGACACTTTGAATATAATATAATTCAGCTACTTTTTGTGGAGGAAATTTTCTAAATTAAGCTTCAGTACATTTTTATAATATAATGATAGTTGCTAATTTTTAAATTATTTTCTCAGATTGATAGCGAAACATAAAGCTGTTATCTACTGCTGCTGAGTGAGTTATTAGAGTTTTCCCCGTCGCCAATTATGTTATGTACTCGTGGAGTAGTTAATAGTCCTAACGCAAAAGGGGGATAATCAGAAGACCACGAGGTTTACGATGATACTTGTATTTTCCAGACAAGTAAAATAAATGTCACACAAGAGTGTGAGTGAAATGGTACGTAGTGTACGAAACGTGGGAACAAGAATGAACAAGTACACAGTACAAAAGTATATGTGAAAATGACTAATACACATGAACCAATAAATAGACAGTCTTAACATGATCAGTTGTAATGTCATGTGATAATAAGGTCACACATGTTTATTTAGTCAGTGGACAGACAAAAGCATATTGTCAGTCATAATGAAATATCGATCCATACACACATAGCAAAATATAATAGACTGTCAAAAATAAAACACACACATCATGTGGATACATATCAGTTACCGACATATGGCATAAAACAACTGTGTCTATAGGATGGTGTTCAGAATGTGAAGCCTGCTGTATAGGCGAGAGCAATAAACAGGTGAAGGTTAGAGTGAATGGACACAGACTGTGCACAAAAGGTCCACCTAGAAATGAAATAGAATTACAACGTCTAGAAAAAAATATCACCTATACAAATGCATGCTATAGACAGTGGACATTAGGTTGATTTCGACAATGTCGAATGAAATTCTATGAATGGGATTTCATTTATGTGAAGAAATGCTGACCTCTGAAGCCTTGCATATTCTAATCACATCAAATGTAGTAAATAGGAGAAAAGGGAAAAACGTATCACGTTTATGGTGGACTCTGATGTAGCCAATGAGATGAGGGAGAAAATAAGTTGAATCCTATACTATGATCATATTTTGAAATATTATCATGTTTAATAATAATAATAATAATGATTTACTTTATTCCAAAAACAGTACTTGTA